TTTGATGTGAGAGGGATAGTGCATTTGGAGTTTGTTCCACCTGGTTAAACTGTTATTCCAGCTTTCTATTTAGAGGTTCTGAAAAGATTGTGTAACAGTGTGTGACAAAAGCCTGATTTGTGACAGACGGGACTGGCAAAACCAGTTATGTCAGTGTGTCAGTTTTTTGCAAAAAGCAGCATGCCTCTCTTGTCCCATGCACCTTAATCACCTGGCCTCTTTCCATGTGACTTCTTTTTGTTTCCGCAATTGAAGAGGGACATGGAAGGACAGCTAGTTGATGACTTGGAAGAGGTGAGGAAAAAAGTGAGGGAGGTTCTGTCAGCCATCCAAACAGATGAGTTTGAAAAATGTTTCCAAGAATGGAATTGTAGATTTGACAAATATATTAAGTGTAATGGAGAGTACTTTGAAGGTGATAAGACTGTTCTATTAAAAAAATTAAATACATAACTTTGGAAAAATAATAAATTTCATTTTTTGGTGTACTCCCTCATATTTTATTGATTTTATTATTTTTAAAATTAAATTTCTCTAATGAAACTTTAAAATAATTGACTCATGACCCATTGTTTATCTAATCTGGAACCACTGTTTTTGTCATTGTTTTTGGCTGAAAATGTTTTTCAAGGAAATGTTTAATGCAACACATTTTTTCCCCAAGCATGTTCATGAAACTTTTGTTTATTTTAAATAAATAAAAAAATTTAAATAAGCTGATACTTAGAGGAAATTTATCATTTTTCTCTTCTCTAGTGACATTTGGGCTCTTGGGTGTGTCCTGTATGAGATGTGCACACTTAAACATGCAGTAAGTAAAAGTTTCTGAAGTGGTAGATAATAAATTCTATCAAAAGTGTCTAGAATTTTTATTATTTTTAATTATATGTCTCCTTTTAGATGACCTAGTAATATAAATTCTAATTCAGTTTTAAATTTCTCCTCTCTTTTCTAATGCCTAAATAGAAAATGTTTTTTTCCCCAACATCTTTGCATGTATAATATATATGTTTATGTTGTGTATCTTACTATAATACATATTTAATATTTTTACATAAAATTATTCCTAAAGGCAGATTGAGATTTTGTGATCTTCTTAATCTTAAATTCATTTACCATGAATGTGATATTTTAGTTTAGCAAATTTTATTAGTTTTATTTGGTCAAATCTCATGAAAAGACCCATATTATTTGAGTTTGGAACTGAAATTATTTAAGTATGTTTGTCCAACATTTAGTGAGGGATTTTGTTATTTTAAATATCTTTAATTCTGATAAATGAAAATTTTTATATTTGAAGCTATTAATGCAACAGAAAGTGAGAATTTTTGTTTTAATTAAGTTGACTCTAACACTGCTTTGAAAAAAAGGTTTTCCTATTGTTTACATAATATTTTCAATATAGAAAATCTTAGAAAATATGAAAATATTAAAAAGTTAATACAAAACTATAAACAATTTTTCCATCCAAATTACTTACCTACAATATTAGGTTGTATCTTTCTAGGCTTTATTTAAATTGATTTATAAAATAATTTTCCCCTCCACAAAGTTTTTTTTTTTAATCGTTTTACTGGGGGCTCTTACTGCTCTTATCACAATCCATACATCCATCCATTGTGTCAAGCACATTTATACATATGTTGCTGTCATCATTTTCAAAATATTTTCTTTCTACTTGAGCCCTTGATATCAACTCCTTATTCTGCCCTCCCCACCCTTCCTCCCTCATGAATCCTTGATAATTTACAAGATATTTTCCCTCATGTCTTACACCGACATGGGGTGTAACACAAAGTTTTATTATGCTGTATAAACAGTTGCATATTGACCCCAAACCCATCTGAAGCCAATAGGACATCCCCTCATAAAAGGAAGACATGAGTCAACCAGGGTGCAGTATAACACCGATGAAACACACAATAGGCGTCTGGTTCTTTAAGGCTTCCTCACCCCCACTATCAAGACCCCAGTCCTGCCTTTCAGTTCTGGCTAGATCGGAGCATGGACACTGGTACAGGTAAGGGCTCACAACACACAGAATCTAGGTCAGATAAACTCCTCAGGAACAGAAATGGGAGTAGAGATACCAGGAAGGTGGAGGGAAGGTGGTGGGAGGAAGGGGGAACTGATCTCAATGATAGATGCTTAACATCCTCCCCCAGGGGGAGGAACAACAGAAATGTGGGTGAAGGGAGACAGCAGTTGGTATAAGATATGAAAATAATAATAATTTGTAATTTATCAATGGATCATGAGAGTAGAAGGGAGGGAAAAAAGAGGAACTAATACTAAGGTTCAAATAGAAAGTAAATGATAATGGCAATATAAGTGCAAATGTGCTTGATACAATTGATGTGTGGATTGTTAGAAGAGCTGTAAGAGCCCCCAATAAGATGATCCTTTTAAAAAAAAATTCAAGTTCTCACCTTCCCCAGGCCTTCATCCTTATGCTGTTTATAAACAGTACAATGCTACAGAATGGTCTGTGAGAAGAAAAGATATTATGAAAACTAATGTCTAAATTAACTCCATGCCTTTGATAATTGTAGTCTACACATCATTTCCCTTAATAAAAAGGATTCATAACCAAAAAACCCCAGTTGTATATCTTCCTTGTCATGCTTTCTAATGATATAAATCACCATTATTTTGTAAGAGTGTATCAGTTGAGAGAGAAATGAAACTCCTCTAGTCCAGAAACAGAGAACCAAATCTTCTATACATTTAGAATTCCTTTTAAAATGCATAGACATTTCTAGAAGATTGCATCGCACATAGATTCTTAAAAGTTGGAATTGCATTTAAAATGTGGCTAGAAGAGCTTACCACTTAACAGAACTCATAATTTAGACAATCTCTTTTACCCAAGATTTATTTTATGCCATATTTTCTTTTCTTTATGTAATACACAACTGTTTACATTTTTTTTTTAATGGAAGAGTCAAAAATTTAATTTTACTTTCCTTCAAAAGAAACCTTATAGATTTTAAATTACCTGCCTTTTATTTTAGAAATTTTAGAGTTTATATTATTTTCATCTGAAAATGTTTATTCCAGTAAATAAAATTTTTATTCCCCCTTGCAATATTTGCCACATTTCTGATAACATGATTTTATTTCATTTTTTTCAGCAGTTTTATTAGCACCTGATTTAAACATCATAGACTTGATTAGTTCAATCGTTCAAAAATATGAAGGGGGAATTGTACAATTATGACCACATCCATCCTAGAGCCTTCCCTCCCCACATGGTTGATTCACCTCCAGAGTGAGCTGTTTAAGCAAGATCAGCTCCAGTGCTCCCCACCCCACCCCCAGCCTTCCTCAGTTGCTCCCTGTCTCCCCTTTCCCTCCCCATCGCCCAGCCCCTCCCTTGCAGATGTGCAATATATACCAGATAATAGTGACCAGAGTTAAGGAGGAAGGCATTTAGAGAATTACTACTTTTATATTATATTTTCCAAACTTTAGTTCTATAGTTATTTTTTTTTGTTTTAGTTGTCACACGAGAGGCATCTTATTATAGTCTCTTTGAAATATCTTTATAAGTGACCAAGGGAACCTTGCTGTAGAGTACATAGGGTGATTAAAATATTTGAAAAAAGTTTCTCTTTTATCTTAATAGGAAAAGAACTACTTGTTATTAACAATTTCAATTTATGTATGTTTCATGTATGTGAATTTCTTTTCTGGATTTTAGTTTGAAGCTGGCAATATGAAAAACCTGGTACTCAAGATCATATCTGGATCTTTTCCACCTGTGTCTTTGCATTATTCCTATGATCTCCGCAATCTGCTCGCTCAGTTATTTAAAAGAAATCCTAGGGATAGACCGTCTGTCAGCTCCATATTGGGCAAAGGCTTTATAGCCAAACGTATTGAAAAATTTCTCTCACCTCAGGTATGTTTTTTTACTTTATAACTAAAATGTAACTGGGAGGTACGCTGTTTACCCTACCTTTTGGTGGAGAGCACACGAGAACCTTATTGTGTTGTTGTTAAGGACCACGGAGTCAGTTCTGACTCCTAGCAGCCCTATGGACTACAGCGTCATCCTCACATTGGTCTTAGGTTTGAGCCCATTGTTGTGACCACTGTGTCAATCCATCTTGTTGAGGGCCTGCCTCTTTTTCACTACCTTTCTAGTTTTACCAAGAATGATTTCCTTCTCCAGGGATTGGTCTCTCCTGACAACCTGCAGGGATGCCTTATCTTCTTCAGACTACTCTGGGGGCATCTTCCATTCTGATATAATTATTTTTCTTTCTATTTGCTTTCAAATTGTGAGTTATTTCTCTGTCTCTTGAGTTACTAACTGTAAAATTATTAAACCTTTTTGTGCCTCATTTTCTGTACTTATGAACAATGGGATTATTAGTATATCTTAAGGTTGTTAGGGAAATGTGGAGTGATGTGTAACATAGAGTGAATGTTGACTATATTCTATATCAATATATGAACTTATGCTTAATAAAAAAGGAACCAAGGAAAAGGAAAAACCTGGAATTTAAAAAGAAAAAAAAATTAAAAAAATGGCAAAAATGATTTATATACCTTATATACTCATGTATAAGCTGAGTTTTTAGCCCCCTTTTAATGCAGTTTTTATGGTAAAATTAGGTGCCTCGGCTGATATTCAGGTCGGCTTATAATTGAGTAATATGGTAGCTATGATCAACCAAGAGTCATTATTTTATGTTTTATGTTCAGTGTCACCTTTGCTAATTTTAATGATCACTTTTAAACTATAAAATATCTAAGAACATTGTATTGATTATTTTATATGCTGTTGGAGAAGGAAGTATCCTGGCTTAACTGAACATTCATATAAACAATTACTCTTTAGAGCACAGGGATGTAGATATAATTATTACTACTAGGAGAATATATTAGTAAGACAGCTAATAAGAATTTGAAGGTTACTTGTATAGACATGGCAATGTGGCAGTCTCATAAGACTTCTTTGTTACTTCCTAGTCTCGGAAATTTGGGTGACTCGTAAGACGTCTTTGTTATAAATAATGTTTACAAGGACAGTTTTGTGATGCAATATATTACTGTTTTTTGGCAACTACCAGAGAGGAAAGAATGGCTTCTCTTTATCATGCTGAACCCCTCACCTTCATACCATCACCCTCCAATACTAACTGCTAGGGCATACAGCTTTAGGGCTGAAGCATTAGAATTCAACTAACTAGTGAAAAACCAGAAACAGTTCAAGTCTGATATACTACAAACTTAAAATGTGGAAAGAACAGGTGGCAGATTTTGATTATTAACAATATTGTATGCTTAATAACTACATAGCCCCTTGTTGCTAATTTAGCATCACTTAGATTTAATTCTTATAAAAACACTTTTATCTTTTGTTCTTAAGATTTATAGTATGTATTACTGAAGGAACCTTATTGGTATAGTGGACTACATTTGGGGTTGCTAATGTTAACGTCAGCAATTTGAAATCACCCGCTGCTCTGTGGGAGAAAGATGAGGCTTTCTGCTTCTATAAAGATGTACAGAGATCCTTTGGGTATATATTTTTTAGCATCTAGGTGAGAAAGTTTATGATAATATTTCTTATGTTATAAAAACTACAATTTTGAAAAATTATGAATTTCATTGCAACACTTACACTATTATTATCCACTAGTATTAAAATATTCTGTACAAAATTTTAACCCCTAAATCCTCTCATAGCTACTAGTCAAGATACACATAGCTCATTTCTCAGTTTTGTATGTTCTAGTAACTTGATCTTGATTGTAGCTAGACAAATTATGGACAAGCTTGTTCACTAGGAATATGGGTGTAGCACACAACACACCTTCTTTTTTTGTGATGTATATAATATCTAGAACCATGGGATTTACCAGCCCAAATGTTAATGCCCACTATCACTGTGAGTGGGTGTGGATATGTGGTTGCGTCATTATTTTCAGTTTCATATCTCAATAGAACATGAAAATCTCAGATGTTGAGAATGTTCTATCTCTAAGTGATTGTTTCAGAGCTATCATAGTTATTATGAACCTCTCCCCAGAAAGGGTTGACACATGATGACAGGTGGGGTCATATACTCTTATATTGCACAACCAAACCAGTACTTGGCAACTGGCAGGAATTCCACAAATGAAGTAGGTGCTTTGCCAGTTTTTATATATTTTTCATCAAAACCACAAATGACACTCAAACTGTCCTTAATAAGGGAGCTTCAAAAACAGTAAAGGAAAAGTTGTATTATCTTTTAATTCTGTTTTCTCATGAATTTTTGAGGCCCCCTCACACTCTGAAAAAAATCAGTAGCTGAAGGTGCCACCCCAAAGCAAAGTGGCTTTATGCTTTGTAAGAATGAAAGACTTACAATAAACTAAAGTATGATCACATGTGCAATTTCCTATAATTCATAACCATGGTAGACATGATAGAGCTATCCAGATATCACTTGTTACATGCAGGCAGTCTCTTTTTCCTCTCAAGATGAAACAAGAATGTGACAGACTGATATTCTGTCCTTACATTGGGGGGATTCTTACCCACAGCTGTCCAACTAGTGTACATATTCTTCCAACTGAAAGACTACTGCCACACAGATTTCTCTTTCAGAGACAGGGCCATGTGAAATTAGAATTAGCAGTGTTTAAATTTTTTATTGTAACTTAAAAGTCAAAAGAATATCTTTGAGTTCTTATATCCAAATGAAATATAACAGGAGTGGCACGCAGACCTTTAGCAAGGTTAGTTTTATTCAGTTATTAACAGTGAATCCTCTTCACCTTACATTTGAGGCTCACTGGGTTTTGGATGCAAACAGCTCAGGAAGCAAGGATGCTTGCTTACTCCCTGTTAAATCCTGTTGATTCAAATGGTGGTGGCTAGGCTCATTGTGATTGGAATCTTCAGAGCAGAGAATTAACAATTAACAATCTTACTTTTTTTTCTTAGTGGAGCTAAACATGATAAAGGGCAAAAGGGAGCAATTCAGTTGTTTTTTTTTGGTAGAGAATTTCAGCTTAATTTTTAAATCTTTGCATAGTTTAGATGTGACCAATTCCTTGATGTATGAGTGCTAAAGTATGTCTGGCTCTTGATGGGGATAAATGATAATGGAAGAAATCATAAAGTAAAAGAGGTAAAAAGAAATTTTAAAGGGTAGTCCTAGAAGACAAGACAAAGTGCTCTAATTGAAACAAAAAAAACCTTCCAAAACAAAAAAGAACAGGATTAGCATTTAAGCTGAAAGAGAAAAATCTAAGATTCAAATTGCACTATTGAAGGATGCTATGGGCAAACTATTTAATGATGTAAGAAACATTAAAAGAAGATGGGAGATGACTCTCCCAATAAGAATTTGCTTACATTTAGCCATTTAAAGATTTAGAATATGATTAAGAGCCACTCGTACTGAAAGAAAATGCATAGGCGGCACTGAAGGCATTGATCACCAAACAAGCCTCCGAGGACTGATATAACACTAAGGAGATACGTCAACAAATGCAAGATTGAAAGCACTTACTTGTTTATGTCAAGACATTTGGAAGACAGCTACTTGGCTAAATGACTGAAAGAAATACATATTCATACCTATTCCAAAGTAAGGTGATAAAATATAACATGGAAATTGTTCAGTAATATCATTAATTACATGCAAGTAAAATTTTGCTGAAGATAATGTAAAAGCTGTCCAAGCCAAATTCACAAGCTAGATCTTGAATGAAACCAAAGAATATCAGAAAGATAGTTACATATGTCTCATTTACTATGCAAAGGCATTTGACATCTTGAATCATAACAAGTCATGGATTACATTGTGAAGAATGAGAATTCCAGAGCAATTAATTGTGCTCATATTGAAACCTGTATGGAGACCAAGAGACAATCATTTGAAAAAAAACAAGGGAAGACTGCATTGTTTCAAATCAGCAAAGGTGTGCATCAGGATTGTATCCTTTCACCATACTTAATCTATGTGCTTAACAAATAAACTGAGAAACTAAAGTACTAAACACAACACAGAATTAGAATTGGCGGAAGACACATTAACTGAGATTATCAGATGATACTGATAACTTATTGATAAAGGTCAAAGAGTACAATAAAAATTACATCTGAACATGAAGAAAATTAGAATTCTTACATGTGGGCCACAAACATAATAAATGGCAAAGAGATGGAAGTTGTTGAGAATTTCATTCTACTGGGATCAACAAAATGTGCTTGTGAAAACAAGAGCAAAGAAATTGGGTGACATTAGATCGGACAGATCTATTAATTTCTTTAAAATCTTAAAAAGTCACCATCATGACTGCGGTCTACCTGACAAGAGCAGGGCTCTCAGTGGGCATTTTACACAAGAGGAGTCAAGATCCTGAAGCATTCTTGGAAGAATTATAATAGGAAATGAAACATGACTTTACCAGGATGGTTCTGAAGAAAAAGCACAGTTGGAGCGGAGACCACAAAGACTGGGAAGTAGTCCAGTCAAAGCAAGAGCAGATGGGCCAAGATCAAGGACCATGGCAGCAGTTTGAGCTACTTGAGGTGTTTTGCTTGCGGACTTTCCGAAGTGCCGGAGAATGATACCAGCTGCTGCTCATGAAAGTGTTTTGAAGAAGTTAGCCACCGCCTCAGCAGAAACAGCGCCCGAGAACGCTTCACCGGCCAGTCTTCTATCATGACAGTGCTCCAACTCAGCTTCGCATCAAACAAGAAGAGTTAACAGTTTTACTGGTAGAAAATTCATGCACCGTAAAATTCAGTGGTTTAAATCTATTAAAGAGTGCGCAATCATCACCACAATACGTTTTAGAACTTTTTCTTCATCCTTGTATCCATCATTATTTGCCATTACTCTCTAACCTCCCCTGACATATCCCTAAAGAACTATTAATTTAGTTAACTGTGTCTATAGACATACTGATCTTGAATTTCATTTACAAAACAAAAGCAAAAAACCCCAACAATGACAGCAAAGTAAAACAAAAACCTCAATCCAAAAGGAAGCAGAAGATAATTAGAAACTAGAACAAATTAAAAATGGGTCAAAAGGCAAGCAAATGAGAATTGTTCAATGTTAAACTAACTATATCTGTAGTGATCTATTTTCAAATTATACCCATTTGTGGGCAAGACTGTTCACATCCCTCATCAATGGTCTGAGGGAGGTCAATGGAGTTTTAATCCATGGAGCAGCTCTGTGAATGGATTTGGAGCTTTCCCGACTGTCTTCCGTAAGCCTCAGAAAATGGGAAGGCCCTCTGTCCTTTGGAGATGGACCGAATAGCTGGTATTGATTTTGCTTGAGTGTATATTGAGAAAGAAAGTTTTTATTTTGAATTTTTACCTTTTAATTGCACTTTCCACAATTTTTTGCAGTCCTCTTGTATAGCGTGTTCAGCCAGAAGAACAACCAGAATGCTCCTTAAATAGAAAACTGTGTCTCGCTCACTTTGTACCTATTAGGAGGGGCAGTCATTGGAAAAGGATATCATGCTTGGTAAAGTACGGGTTGGTAAAAAAGAGGGGGTTCCACAATGAGATGATTTGACACGGTGGCTGCAACAATGGGCTCAAACATAGCAACAATTGTATGGATGACAATTCCGGGCAACACTTGGTTCTCTTATTTATAAGGTCTTTATGAGATGGGACTGAATCGCCCCACCTAACAATTGGCTGTTCAGTTACATATTTTGTCCTCTATCATGCATCTGGGACATGTTGCCCATTCAGCTTACTTGATTTTTCTTTTACTCATTCAAAACCTCTTTTAAAAAGCAAGGATTTAAGTTTGGAAGTAAGATTTGCTTAAATTCTTACTAATAAATCTATTGCTTCCACCTTTTATTATATATATTTTATATTTGTGAGTTTTGGATAGTGTGTTTAGCACTTATTTATTGTGTACCTACCTACTGTAGACCTGGGACTATTTAAAGATTGGGATATAGCAGTGAACAAAATGCATAAAAACCTCTGTCTTCTTAGAACATAATTTGTTTGTGGGCTGAGCAGATGTGCTGGGGGAGTTGATACGTACTATGGAAAAAAAGGAGGAAATGGGATTAGAGAGTGCTATGATGGTAGATCTCAGTGAGATCTAGTAGATAACCAAGTAGATCTTTTTTCTTTTTAAGATCATTTTATTGGAGGCTCGTATAACTCTTATCACAATCCATCCATCCATTGTGTCAAGCACATTTGTACATTTGTTGCCATCATCATTCTCAAAACATTTGCTTTCTACCTGAGCCGCTAGTATCAGCTCCTCATTTTTCTCCACCCTGCCCATCCCCGCTCCCTTGAAACCTTGATAATTTATAAATTATTATTATTTTGTCATGTCTTACACTGTCCGACGTCTCCCTTCACCCGCTTTTCTGTTGTCCGTCCCCCAGGGTAGGGTTTATAGGTAGATCCTTGTGATCGGTTCCCCTTTTACCCCCCACCTTCTCCTTCCCCTCCTGGTATCGCTACTCTCATTATTGGTCCTGAGGGGTTAATCTGTCTTGGATTCCCTGTGTTTCCAGTTCTTATCTGTACCAGTGTACATCATCTGGTCTAGCCCGATTTGTAAGGTAGAATTGGGATCATGATAGTGGTAGGGAGAAAGCATTAAAGAACTAGAGGAAAGTTGAATGTTTCATCGTTGCTAGTAGATCTTATTGAGAAGATGAAATTTAACTGACACTTAAAAAATTGGTGAGGAATAGAGAGACAGGTAGATTATGTAGAACCTTGTTGAACTTTGGTTTTAACTGAAGTGTCAAACAGAGGAATGACAGTATATCACTTTAAAAATTTAATTGGATAGTAAATAGTTTATTGAGAAAGTACAATTTCCCAAGTAGAAAACCATTATGAGAGAAAATACTTGAAATGTAGTTACTTTAAACAATTTAATGTCTGTTTATGGGAGAAAGACAGGCTTTCTACTCTCGTAAAGAGTTACTGTCTTTGAAACCCTCAGTGGCAGTTCTACTATGCCCTGTACAGCCATATGGGTCAGAATCAATTCAATGACAATGAATAATGTCTGTTTAATGAATGTATAAACCCTTAAAGAAAACCAAACCAAACAAAAAACTCCCACTGCCATCAAGGTGGTCCTAACTCATAGGGACCCTATTCTAAAGGACAGAGTTAGAACTGCCTCATGAATTTCCAAGCCTATTCATCTTTATGGAAGCTGACTGCCACATCTTTCTCGGATTTCCACTGCTGAACTTTTTGATTAGTAGCTGAGCTGTTTAATCCTCAAGCCTTTTTCTTGAGACTTCTCTGTGTGGTTAGCTAAGCATGTTAGCTACTATATTGCACACTCCAGCACAGGGATCCCAGAGTTTACTTGGACTTTACGAACCTCATCTCTCAATTAATGTAGGTATTCTTATAGGGGAAAATAAAATTTTACACTCAGAAATTGGAGGAAATTACTGAATTCTTGGGGAAACGAGATTATAAGACACTTCCTTTTTTTCCTTGAAAATCACTGAGAAAATGTGGGTGTACAGAAGAGAAAACACATTTGCTTCTCAAAATATGTTTATGTATGTTGGGCATTAAATAGATGTTCATAATAATGGTAAAAGGAGACACTTGTTTAATAATGTAAGAATATTTTTTATCCTCTAATTTGGTCACAATTATTTCTTTAAAAAGTGTGCAAACTCATTGACAGTGCTAAGAACATTCAGAATTAAGTTGAAATAAATGAGAGGTTAATCTTAGAGTGTTTTCTTTGATAATGAAGTGATTCTTTAGCAGTTTTGAAATTAATGAGACATATCAATATGTATATAGCAAGATCACTCCAGCTATGAGGTAGGTGTATTAGATTTCTGAGAGATGGATCAGATAAGCAATGTATGGAGGACTATGTGATGTAGTAGTTTAATTGGAGAAGAAACCCTGTCTGGAAAGTAATAAAAATAAATTGGTAAAATTGGAAAGGATGATGATGGCAACATATGTACAAATGTGCTTGACACAATTGATGTATGTATGGATTGTGATAAGAGTTGTATGAGCCCTAATAAAATGATTAAAAAAAAGATATACAGGCATCAGAAAAAGAAACACATATGCTATTGATATAATAGCATTCACTGTGAACATGTGTAACCAGATATTAATATGCAATATTGTTCCAATACTTTCTAATATACTTTTTAAAATAAAAAAAATTGGAAAAGAATATTGTGAAAGGAACTTGGTGAAAAAAACCAATTGATTTTATACTAGTATAGTTTATTTGACAACATAGAGGAGCCTTGGTGGCAGTGTGTAAAGCAATAGGCCGATAACGGAAAGTTAACCTTATTTGAACCAACCACCACTCCACAGGAGAGAGGTGGCAGTCTGTTTGCACAGAGACTCTCAGCCTGGGAAACCCGTTAGGGTACTTCTTCGTCCTACAGGGGGAATTGTTACAAGTTGGCTGTTTTGTTTTGTAGTTGACAACATGATTGTGACAGAAAAGAGAGAAAAAAAAAGTATTTTGGTTAATAGGGAGGGTTTTATTTTGGAAATTTAATCTTTTTGTAACCTCCTTTCCTTTCATTCTATCAAAGTTTATTGCAGAAGAATTTTGCCAGAAAACGTTTCAAAAGCTTGGAGCACAGTCTATACCAGGTAAAGGTAAATTAAATTTAATATAAGATCTTTTCACTTCTTTGCCATAATCATACTGGAGATATATGTAGATATAATAATTTGGGATAATTAGAGGATATGTAGAGAATTGTAGTGCTGTACTTAAGACATTTGGCTGCTAACCAAAAGGTCAGAGGTTCAAAACCACTAATGCTTCCATGAAAATGTTTTTCTTGGAAAAATACTTTACATTTAAAATAATGTTAAAGTAAGTAAAGGTGAAGTGAGATTATCTTACTAAGGATAGATTTTCTTTTAAATGTGGCCAATTGCCTTAAAATATTTGTGGGATTGTGGGCATAGTTATATATTAGATCAATATCTATCTATCTATATAACATATATTAAAGATAAAATTATATTTTTCCACATAATGATTTCAGAATGAATGTCTCAAATCATTGGAAAGTATTTAAGATTTAAGAAGTGTATTTTTCAAATATGGAACTTTTTAAAGCTCGATCATATTCTTCTCATGTTCTTCACTGTATTTTAAGTTTGACTTAATAAAGTAAATAGCATTTTATAAAGGTGAAGTCCTGCCTACTAGAAGTGGTGTGGCATTGTGTTGCTAAGGAAGGGCTGGGGCCAAAGACCTTTTATTGTTTTCTTGATTGCTGTCCTGTTGATTAGACTCCCTGTGTTCAGAGAAGATAAACTTACTACATAGAGTTTTCAAGCTTGTGATCTGAGAAGCAGTTCATCAGACCTGTCATCCAAGACACCCAACGTGGATTTGAACTTCCAGCCTCACAGCTAGTAATCAAGTCACTTAACTGAGAAACTCAGGATTCTATTTACACACTCTTAGTCTCACAATTGTCTATTCTTTTGTGCCCTTAGCCTCTTTTCTGGCATACAAAATATTTCTTTAGCTATATTAATACATTTAGCCAGGCTGTATATAGCATTGTTACTTTGTATTGCTGTGCCATGGTGGTGCACTGGGTTATGTGTACTGCTAGCCATACTGTGGGTTAAAGATGAAGCTTTCTGCTCCCGTAAAGATTTACAGCCAACCATCAATTTATGTGTTAATAATACTCTTTTTGGAAACTTAAAGGGTCAGTTCTACTCTGTCCTATAGAATTGCTCTGAGTCAGAATCAGAGTGAGGGTATTTTTTCCCCTTTTTTGTGTGTGTCTGTATTTTGATTTGATCTTGCAGTTGAACTCTCTCAATGGGAGTTTCCCTGTTTCCTAATTCCTCATCTGAATGGGTTAGAGTGTGTGTGTAAAACCATACCCATCACACTGTTTAGTTTTATGTCATCGCTAATTACTTAGGAATCTCTAAAATGCAACCCAAGTGACTACTATTATAAGAGTTTACTAAATTATAGGGATAGAGCATGTTCAATTTTAAAACTAAAAAGGAGAAAATAAAAATTAACCCAAATCTGGACATGCACGGCTATGTTTGATGTTTTCTGTTTGTTATTTACTTTCTTTCTGTGATGACATTGGAAAAATGGGATTGGGGATGTTTAACATTTTTTTTAAATTACAAAAACATAACTTCTACTTGATGTCTTTTAATTTACAGTAGTATGTAGCGAACATTTTCTAATGCAATTAGTAGGTGTTCTTTAAAGAATTGAGTCGAATGGTGGAATTTCATAGTGGACTACCAATTAAAAATGCCCTCTACTTTCACATTCTAATGGACGAACACTTGATAGAAGAGAAATTTAAGACATAAAAAGACAAAATAAGATAAAAACTAGGCTAGATGAGGAAGAAAATTCCTATTCAGGTGGGGAGTTTAAGCAGAGAAGTGCCTTAGCAGATACGGAAAGTCAGAGAGGAAAGAGCATTTTGATAAGGGTTGATGTAGACGGTACTTTTTGACCTCCTTGAATGCCCTTTGAGAGACATGAATAAATAGTACAATTTTTCTAATGGTTGTTGTTGGTTGCTATGGATTCAACCCCTGAATCATGGGGACTTTCTGTGCTACAGAATAGAACTGCTCCATAGGATTTTCTTGGCGGTAATCTTGTTTTTTCTTCTTAAAATAATTTTGTTTAGGGTTCATACAACTCTTATCACAATCCATATTTATATCCATTGTGTCAAGCGCATTTGTACATTTGGTTTGGCTGTAATCTTTATGGAAGCACATTACCAGGTCTTCCGAGAAGTTTCTGGTGGGATTGAACAGCCAACCATCTACCAATTGCTTTCTAATTAACTAACTGTAAACTCACCATAGTTTTAAAAGTGAACCATATCTAGGCTTCAATAAGTTTGATAAGTAGTGCTGCAGGGTTTGCCCTTGTGTATACATTTTTCTTTAAAATTTGTTATTGATGTAGAATACCCTCCAAACAGTTTGACTCATCTATATTCCCACCAGTAGACTATATGTAGAGTATATAGGAGCAACATATTAAAGTTACTATTAATAATAAAATGAATGTTCAAGATAGTAATGATGTTGATTTAATATTCTTAATTTGGAAGTTTCTTAGATAATGGATTTAAAAATATCATTTAAAATCTTTATCAATATGTAATTCACTACATATACCATACCACTTACAGTGTATAATTCAATGGTTTTAGTGTGTAGGGGTTTCAGACATTTTGTGGAAAAGTAGAATTAAAAGATAATGGACTTTTTCTACCAACTTTTTAAGAGATCCCCATCCCCACATAATATTCCCAAGTATGCATAACCATCACCATAGTCTGTTTTAGAAATGACCCTTTTTTCTTAATTGAAAAACTTCAATTTGTTTCAGGAATGTGGCTTTTTAGTTCTGTCTAAAGTTGTCTCGATGTAAAATCATTAAAATGAAGGCATTAACATGTGCTAAGAAATGAATATAGTTTTTAACAAGCAGTACCAAATTAAATATTGTCAATGATAATGAAAACAAAAATGTGCTCTCAAAGAATTTTCAAATTAAAAATGTAATATAAATTGGAAAAAAAAAATCTTTATATCTTTTCATATAGTGAAAAGACCAGCTTCAGGACAAAGCTTGGCTTCTGTTGTGCCTGCTCAGAAAATTACAAAGCCTGCTGCTAAATATGGAGTACCTTTGACATCTAAGAAATATGGAGATGCACCTAAAAAGTTACATGAAAAGAAGCCACTTCAAAAACATAAACAGGTATGATCCTGTTAGAAACTATATTAGTAATAAAATCAATATATTGCAGCTCATTTCAGTTATATTTATACAGTTGTTTTTATTACATTACCAAAACCACATTACTGTATATACTTGTATATAAGCCGAGTTCCCCCCAACCCCCCACTGGAACAATAATCAAAATAATCCAAATTCTTTAATGTACCAAACTACAATTTTTAAAAATTGTAGTTCTTATTGCTACTAAGAATCTAAGGAGCCAGACAATCTTGCACCTTGCTGAAAGGAAAATAGATAACATTTGCTGAAAGTCACCTTGAATAGAAATTTTTTTAAATGTTTAAACTCTCTGACTTAGAAATAAGATTCCTTGGACTTTACCCTAAGAAAATTATAGGAGATATTAGTAATAAGGGTTGGTTACCAAGAGGAACTGGAATTGGAATATTGAAAATGACTCGAATATCCAACAAAACAAAAAGAAAAACAAACCAAATTCTCTACCATCGAGTTGACTGATACTGACCCTGTAGGACAGGGTAGAACTGCCCTGTGGGTTTCTGAGACTGTAACTCTTTTTTTGGTAATCATTTTATTGGGGGCTTGTACAATTCTTATCACAATCCATACATCAATCCATTGTGCCAAGCACGTATGTACATTTGTTGCCCTCATCATTCTCAAAACATTTGCCTTCTACTTTAGCCCTTAATATCGGCTGCTCATTTTCCCCCCTCCCTCCCCACTTCTCCCTCCCTCATGAACCCTTCATAATTCATAAATTATTAT